GAGGGGCTGCAGGACCAGGACTGGGAGGAGCCTGGTGTTGGATGGACCTGGGTCGACGGCCAGCTCCAGCAGTTCTCCCAGGTGATGACACGCCTGGCCCCACCCTCTGTTTCTGGACTGAAAGGGGTGATGCCTGTCGGGGCTGCAATGGGTATTAACACCAGGGCCAAGACGCCATGGAAGGGCATTCCACCTCCCACCCTGAAGTTATCTGTCTGTCTGTTCCTGTGTCCCACCCAAACAGGCCACCCAGGGTCCACTGGCTGGAGCCGGCTCCCTGTGTGCAGGCCATTTCCCCTTCCTGTCTCCGGCCCCAAGTCCCTTCCTGTTTTCCTTATTGTGGGAAAATATGTTGGGGGAAAAAACAAGCTGGTCCCCCTGCTCCTGAGGTCGCTGTGGCAGCGAGCGGGCTGGCCGCACGCGCGTGGGAACGCGTGTGTGCACTCGTGGGTGGGGCATGGCAGGGATCTGGGGGTGAGTGTGAGATGCGCGGCGTGTGCTCCCGTGCAAGTGTGTGTATGTGTGGGGGGCGCGTACCACCTGGGAGGTGAGGAACGGGGCGTGGTGGGCAGGAGAAGGGCCTGGCGGTGGGACAGACCCAGAAACGGCCGGAGATTGCCGGAGTGTGGAGGAAGACGCGGTCAGGCAGGAGTCGAGGTCATGGAAGGGGAACAGGCAGAAGGGAGGGGACACACATCTGCTGGATGTTGAGCAGTGACTGCTCATCTGTGTGTGTGTGCACCCCCCCGCCAGTGCCCCTGCGCTGGGTGCCCGTGCTTTGAGGAAAAGGTCCTGGGGATGGAGGAGGGCCAGGGCGCCACGGGGTCAAATGTGGAGGGGTGTCTGAGCATGGCGGGGTCGGGGGACCCGCTTCCCATCCATGCCTCCCACCACTGGCACCTGCTCGCCCACTTTCAGCCCCATCTCCCTGAGCACTGGGCTCTCTGGAAATAGAGGCAGGACAGTGACAGTGGGTGAGCAAGGAGCCTCATCCAGGGCCTTGGTGGCCCAGACTTGAAGGACAGCAGATGTCCACACTGGAGGCTCACACATGGGGCTCACACACGAGACACACACGGGGCTTACACACATACATGTGAGACTCACACACACAAGGCTCACACACACAGGGGCTCACACACACACGGGGCTCACACACACATAGGGCTCACACACACAGGGGACGTACACACACAGGGGACTCACACATGGGACTCACATATAGGGCTCACACACATGTGAAGCTCACACACCCAGGGCTCAAGCACACGAAGCTCACATGTGC